CGCTCAAAAACCAACAATCAATCGGCGCAAAGCAGTCGTCAGCCGAGTTCAGCGCCAGCACCGGGATCGGAATTTGTGCAACCTAGACATAAGCTATGATTATTTATTTATCCACATCTTGTATACCTTGGTCCTCAGCGTGGCCTCCGTGTAGTAGTGCTCCCAGTCGCGGTAGCCAAACATCGGCACGACGAAGTGCTGATCAAAGCCGCGGATCGTGTTCGACTTCATCAGCACGTCCCACTCGATCAGCTCGTGGAACAGTTCTTTGTGGCTAAAAAAATCTAAGTAAAAACCGGAAATCAAAACTCACGGGAGGACGACGTTCTTGAGGCACTGGGCGAGGTGGCTGTTGAAGAAGAGCCGCGGGAAGAAGGTTTCGAGGGAAGCCGTTGAGCGGAAATTGTCGAATGGGGAGGAAACCTAAAAAATTTGTCATTTTTAAAGGGAACTAATAAACCCACCACCATCCCTGCCAAAAGACCGCAATTCTCCTTGGTGTGCTTGGCCAGGTAGTTCCAGAGGATCATCCTGAAAAATCACAATTAGTAGTTAAAAAATGGCATTATCTTATATTTTTCGTTTTTATTAAACGCAACCAGCTGCGGCATTGCATGAGCTTTTTACGGAAACTCTCAAAAAATCTAAACCCACCCTCCAAGGCTGAACCCGCAGGCGATCTTCTTTGCGTCGGGATAGCGCTCCGTCGTGACTTTTACTACCTAAAAAAAGAGATAATTATCACCAAATTTTCCCACATCACGAAAATCATCGGTGTAGGCCGCATTGTAGGTCTTCGCCGTCTTCAGCGGCACTCCGCCAAGCCCACGAGCATTCACAACGACGCAACGCCAACCTTGCTTTACCACCTAAAAACTGGGTAATCGACATTTCAGTTAAAAATTACATCTTTTGCGCAGTGGATAATGTAGGCGCAATCGTGAGTGGAGCCTAAATACTGAATTTTTTGGAAAGACGATTTCCTTACCTGTAATTCCCGGCAAAAAGAAGACGATTGGAGCGGCCTTATCGGCGTTTTCCGGCTCAAGCCAATCGAGAGCTTGCACACCGCCGTCCGAGTGCTCGTAGATTTCCCTAAAATGTACAAAAAGATACATAAAAAATAAAGGTAAAATTGATCAATTCCAATAATTTTACGAACAAAAGCCGGAAACACACCTCTTCCATGACAGCGGAGGTCGGGCCCGCATCAATTGCCTGATCAGCGTCTGCGCAAAGCCAAAGGGGCACCACCAAGTCGGATGGAATTCCTATTTCTAAGTTTCGTTCTAGTTTGTAAAAACCAACCTTTTGTAGCGCGGGTAGATTGACGACCGTATTCGTCCAGTCGGAGGCGTGACGCCCGTAGACGATCGGTTTCTAGGATCTTTTTTCGCGTTAAAACTATCAAAATTACCTCTCCTTCAGAGTACCGCTGGTACCAATACCACAAAAACGCCACGACGGGCAGGAGAAACGCCAAGATGAACATCTAAAAATTATAGGGGTAAAATTAGCCGAAAACGACTGGATCGTAAGCGGAGAAACGGGTTGGAATGAGGAAGAATTGCCTAGCAACGAGCTGATTCGTGCTGGGGAGAGCTAAAACCGACAGTTTACAGAAACTACCTAATAGACGAAATATTTACGGTCACAAAAACTACCTAATACATGAAAAGAACATTTTACGCTGAGAAAAATACACAATCTTTATTGAACAAATATTTTCATATCGAGCTCAACGGTGCATTTTCAAAACATTGTCCTGATTTTTAAATACTTTATTTACACGTAATATACACGTAAAATCACACAAAAAACGTATCCAAGGAAAAAACAAGCAGTAATTGTGGCATGAGATTCGAAAGTTTGAGATAGAGTGAGTGAGTGCACCGCGATCACAGGCAAATAGAGACAAATTGGGGGAGATGCGGGGCAAAGCGGGTTCAAAGTCCGGGCAAAACACAAAGGCACACTTTTTGTGTACCATGTATCTAGAGATGTGCAGACTACAGGCAAACTAGAAAGTACAATTTTGGGCTATCATAGCAAAAGGAGAGTAGAAAAGAAGTTTTTAACTGAACGGGTCATCGTAGCTGACCATTTGACGGCCAACCGCCTCGTCGGCGTCGTCGGTCTCCATCTTGGCGTCCTCGTCAATTTCGCCGTCTTCCGGCGATTCGTTGCCGGCTTTCTAAAACAGAGATAAAAAGTGGATGCTGTAAGTGCTCAAAATTTTCGTCAATTTCAGTTTAGCTAGAAAACAAATTTTTTTACCCAAAACGAACAAAATTTTCTTTTCAGGCAATTTCCGGACTGTTTTTGAAAGGAGTGAGAACTGAAATAGATTTAAAATTACTAAAAACCATGAAAGCGCCCGGTATTAGATTACTAGGCGGAAATTGGCCGATCCGAAAACCTAAAAAACAAAAAGTCAAACCCGAAAGTTAGTTAAAATCTTTAGTTGCAGTCAAAGCTCTTAAAAACCATACCGGAGTCGACAACGGCTTCAATCGAATCTTCGGAACAGCCGGAACCGATGCGCTGGCGGCAGACGCTGCAGACGCCTTCGGCTCGGCGCGCTTGGCGGGTGGCCTAAATCAAAAATAAACTGATTGAAGGAAAACTGAGCTACCGATCAGCATCACTATTTCTTGTCCGCTTCTCCGCGCTCTTCGGCGTCGTCTCCGGGGGTCGATACGGGAAGTGGGGTGGATTCTTGAACGAGGTGGTGCCCTGTCTTCTGGCGAACGACACACGCAACGTCACACCGCTGACCATGTTTCCGTCCATCTATAAGACTTTATATTCTCACTTTTCCAACCTACCGCTTTGACAGCTTCTTCCAGCTTCTCGTCTGATTTGAACGTCATGTAAGCGACCCTAAATCCATTTTGTAAGGTTTTGTGTGCGGCTTTTTTGCATCTATGTATCCTTCACTTACTTTTGTCGATCCTCCACGCTCGTGCTCTCAATCTCGCCGTATTTTCGAAAGGCCGCCTCGAGCACGTCGGTCTAGAAAAACGGAAAAATAGGCTTAAAAATATTCACAAAATTACCTGTAGATCGTAACCACGGATGAAAAGGATGCGCCCTTTCGTCAGCGGAGTGAATTCGGAGCGTCGCTCATCCGACCAAGGCGTAAGTGGGGGTGAAGCCATTGGAGGGGACATCATTCCGGACGAGGAAGTCTATAATTTTTTTCGTTGCGTGCTATTCGCATTCCAATCCTCAGCTCCCGACTTACCAATTCGCCCAGCTCCCCGGAAGTGCTCCCGCTGCTCCGTTGGCGTACATTGGCGCGCTTGAACGATGTCTTCGTCTCATCCGCTTTCTTAAGCTTGATCTCCCCGGCCGCGATCTTCTTCTTAAGCTCATCAGTTTTCAGGGCCAATTCGTGTCCTAGAAATTGGATAAAAAAAATTTGCAACTGATTTCGAGCCTATTTGTTTTTCTAAAGTACGTCCAAACCCACTTCGCTTAGCCAACGTCTGGTTCTTCTCATTTTGCGACTCACGATCCTCACGGCTTCCGATTGGCGCTGCGCCGCGGTTATTGAGGAGTCGGCGCTAGAAAGGACTATTCTTTCTTTTTTATCGTTAGACTCAATTCCGTGCATTTATAGACCAATTTTCATCAACCCACCAATTGCTTCAAACGATCCTGAGCGGCTTTCAATTGCGTCTCCTCATCCGTCAAGCCCGCTGGAAACACGATTTGAAGCTCTTTCATCTAAACTGAATTTTCTACGTCACTTCGTAATTTCGGGCCGATGTTCCAATTGAAAATATCTCGTTTCGGTTTCGCATGCCACCCATAGTCCTTCATTTTTTCCAAAACCCAACGAACAAGCCATTTATCGTGTAAAAACTCTGCTATAATAGAAATGAAATTACGATCGAAGGCGGTAGGTGCACACTCGATCATGACAAGGAACACGCGCACAAAAACGGATAAATAACGGGCAAAGTGGGGCCCAGAGAGAGACAAAAAGACACCAACCGATTGGCTAAGGACAACGAGGTGACACCACAAGGGAAATGACATAGGGGGAGCTTATCAAGTCGCGAGAAACACGCTTTGGTGATGGAACCGGTAATATACACAGACTTTTTTTGACGACATTGAGGTTTTACCAGTGAAGCTAGTGAAGCAGGGAACTAGGAAGAAATGTTTAAAAACCTGAAAAGTCTGCTTTTTTGCGAGTTTCCTCTTTTCACTTCAACTCCCTTGTTTAGCCAGCGTCAAAGACCTAGAAGGTTCTTAGGCATTATCGGGAGAGGGGGCAACTTTTTGTATAAGTCTAGAAATGTCTAATAAGTGTTTTAAGAGTGATTTTAGCGAAATAGAATTATATTTCAACAAGAAACATTATCTAAAAAACTCGAAACATTTAAAAAACGACATTTCTGTCAAAACGACCATCGAAAAATCGTTGATTTTTGCATTTTTAAAGCTAAATTTTCAAAGTTTACGCGTTTCGGAAGAGTAAAAAAAAACAGTTTAGAAACGCTTCCACTATGTATTTGGAAAAATCAGATCTTCAGAAAAAAAGTTGCTACTCCCGATAATAAGGCCAAAGAACTACCTAGAATTATCCCATTTGTGCACGTTTACAAAGATCACTAGTTGATCACATAGATTGGAGATTGGCGGCGAATACTTGGCGGCGTGACCAAAACTGATAAATAAAACGCAACGTTCTCGTGGGCCAATTACAAAATCCTAACATAGTAGCAGCCCGGTGTGAGAAAAGGGGGGAGAGTGGAGAGAGAATTTTCAATCTAAAATGTAGCACATGTAAGGAGGGCAAAGACGGGATGAGCGAATTCGGGTGTTTTGTGGCAAATCAATTCGATAATAAATGACTAAATATCACAACTAGAATGGAACCGTCACAATTCGGAGCCGGTGTGGTGGGGGCAGGAGGTGGGGCTAGAGCTGGGGGAAAACCTAGCGTAATAAGCACAGGGAAGGTGGTGTATTTTAGGATGTTTTTAGGACATCTTGGCGCCGAGGTGGTTGCGCACATTCTCGTAGACGACGTAGCTCATCCCAACGGCCGGGATCACCTGAAAATGTAAGATGTCGTAAGCGGATCAGCAAATATAAAAATTGGCAAAAATGTTCTTTCGAATTATTCCAGGCAGTTTTTACGCCCTAATCCAAACTCTTCCCCTCCCTCGATAATGCGAAAAAGTCGGCGGATCTATAATGTAGGCCATGTTCTTCTTCCTTTATGTGAGCACTTCACACATTTTTTAGAAAAAAAAGCAATTTTTCAAGGAAACTTTCGAAAGCTTAACCATTTTTTGGGAATTCCAGGCAGTTTTTTCGCATGAAAAATATCTCCTATCGCCCACAACCAACCTTCATAAAGTTTGGCACGAGGCCACGATAAAGGCCGGTGAAGCCCTCGTTCTTCAAGATGTACCGGAACTGGCCGAACATCGTGTTCGGCTGATTCGGGTCGGCAATCCATTCTAAATCAAAGAATACGAGGTAGAAATTAAAAACACACCTCTCGCCTGTAATCGCGTGCGCACCAGGGCAAGCGGATAGCTGGCTAACTGGCCGCATGTCGAGCTTGCCATACCGCAGCCGAGGAGCGTGAAGACGCCAGGTTCTTTTACCTGGAAAAAATTGTAAAAAGCGTCAAAAATTCAAGTCTTACATCAGGGTTCTTCTTCAAATACATGCCCTTCAGCGTCTCGTAGACGGCCAGGTCGATACCGGCGTACGGGATGATGCCGAGAAGATTCGGGATGTAGCCCTGGAAAAACCGTCAAAATTTATACCTCTTTTTACCTTGTAAAAGACGATGATCCCTTCTCTTCTGTACAGCTTATGTGCAAAATAGAGTAGACCCCGGTCGAGTTGGCCCGTTCTCCGCAACGCCAGTCGGGTTTTGAGAACCTGAAAAAACCATAAATTTACATAATTTTACTTAGTGAATTCCAAAAAGTTCTAATAAAAAATTTACATAATTTTCCTACAGAATTAACAAAAGTTCTCAAAAGCCGCAAAAATCACACACCTCCATTGGGTAGATGATCGTTTGGCTCATCGCCCCCGCGCACGAACCGGCCGCAAAACGCTCGCCGATTGTCAGCTCCTCGTGGCCATTGTATTGTTGTATCAAGCGTTTGAACTGGAAACGATTTACACAAACAAAGTCCAAAGTACCTGCTCGTATGCCATAAACTTCATCGCCGACTCCGGGGCAATCTTCACCACGTTGATGCCGTTGCCACGCCAAAAACTCCGGACGCCACCCTCCGTGTAGAGCAGCCGGACGGCCGAGAAGAGGTTCAGCTGGTTTGTTCGACTCGCGTGCACCTAGAAAAGGAAAGAGGGTAAGCGATTTAGCCAAAAAATTTTAGTTTTAGTTTTTTTGGTTATTAGTTTTCTTTTGGGGAGTATTGACGTATTGCGATGCGAATTCGCCCATTCGATAGAGCTTGAAACTCGGGATCAATCACATATTTCAAAAACTGATGAGCTATAACGGTTCCTCATGGTTGTGGGTCAAAATAGCCATATCGGCCCTAGCAGAGCAAACTTTCTTCAACACCGTAGTTGTTCAGTAGTTTTGGCAAACCGGACTTGTTCAGAATTTTAAGCTCTTTCCAAGGCACTACATGACTTTGCCAAAATTCCAATAAACTCAAAAAACCACGCCTCGCAAGCTTGCTGACCTGTAAGTAGACCTTTATCCGATCGAGCGGCGCCGTGGTCGTCCTCGACATGCATCCGGCCAGGCCACCAGCCACCAAATGCCGCCACCTAAAAAAACGGGTTAAAATCAGCGAGCAGCTAACGAACCAGACACCGCTTTGTATTTCCTCTTTTGAAAAGTCCTCAGGAAGCTGCGAGTCTTCACCGATATCGATCATCTAAAAGTACATATAAACCACAAAACGCTCTACAAACCAAGTTGTGTCTCCAAAACGTGGCCAGCTCTTTCGGGTCGGTTGAGGGGTAGAGCAGCATGTAGTCTTGGAATTCGCGAAGGTTGATGTTGCCGGTTTCGCCCATTCTAAAAAAAGAAGATAAAAAGCTATCAAAACAGACAGAAGGACCAATTTCCGTCTAAAACTCACTGATTAACGATCGTAGAGGCCCGTTCTGATGAAATCGATGCTCCATGCTCGTCGCAATAGTCTTGCAACTCCTTTACGTCAATGTAACCTAGATAAGCGTTTTTCCCGGCAACATCATTTCCTACCATCCTCATTCTTATCAAGCTCCTTGAACACCTTCTCGAGGTTGTCTTCATGCTCCACCATGTAGGCGGCGAATTCTCGGAAGCCGACGGATGTTGTTGATTCTTCGGTGGCCATCCGTTCCATTAATAACTTAAAACAAGCAATTCATACAAATCATATACCGAAACCGACATTGTAACGAAACTGGCGAGAGAAAACTTACAGGTGCCATCCTTGATGGAATATGCGGCTTTTCACTTTTCAACGCACTCGTCAGGTCCCGTAAATCGATCGTCCCATCGTTGTTGACATCCAGCCGATCGTAGAGTTGCCGTAACCTAAAAACTGGCACTGGTAAAGAGACAGAAAAACATACCGTTTTTCTTTTTCCGGGGTCAATCCATAAATTGCCGCATGGGTGGCGATGGCGGCCTCTTTCGAGATGCTGCCCTAAATATTGTTAAAGTAGCAGGGCTAGCAGCAAAAGCTTACATGAACTAATGAATGTTTGGCTTGTGTGGCACTCTTGATCAACGGAGAAACGTGTTTCGCCTGGTTGGCGAATTCGCTGACGTCGAGCTTCTCCTCGACTAAAATCCAGAAATTGTAATCCAGAGCATAAAAGTAATTTACCTAATTTTTTCGGGTTTGGCGTGTCCAGGGCTTGGACGCTGGGTGAGATCTCCACTGTGGCCATGTTTCAGGAGGACGCAACGGCTAAAAAAAAGAAAAATATAGGAAAATCGGACTTCACAAAGTACAAATCATTCCAAATGACGAACCCGCATGAAACGTGCTATGGGCTGCACACAAAACAAGGACCGGCAGACTCGCGCTTCTCGAGAGCCGTTTACCTGAAAAAATTTATCTATAGCTAAGCACCTACAAAACAAAAATAACACACGCTATGAAGGGAAGGCACAAAGCACTATCACGAATGTAAAAAAGCTATCTTTCGAAAGGAGATCGACACAAACGACGCGGGGAGAAAGAACATATGGACACTGGGCAAAAATGACTAAAATCGTGGGGCTGAGCAGTTGTCGGGGCGCCTATTAGAATTGGTCAGTGTGATCCGCGGAAAAACAGCAACAGAATCCCATGGCAAAACAATAATCACAATTCAGAAGACGTGGGAGGCACTTCACAACATGACATTCAGCAAATAGGGTCTGGCGCATTGGAAGAGGTCGAGGTCCGGGTCCAACGAACGGCCGAAACCCTCGAGCACCATGATGGAGAGCAGGATGCTCGTGAAGGCCGAGTCGAGCTGGACGTGATGCTCGGAGACGATGCTGCAAGAAACGGTATATCTCGATTTACTAAACATTTTGGATTTCGTTATCTGGCCTGCCTAGCAAAATTTTTCTCTTTATAAGTTCTTTTTCGTTTTTAGTAGTTCCCGAACAATAGAAAGCTATCAAAACCTGCAGAACGCCTAATTTTTGAAATTTTGGCTCTTTTCATACGTTTCTGAACAAAAATCACGTCTTGCTAAAAAATGATTTTTTTTTTTATAAAGGCTATAGTACGCCGAAGAAGGCGTGAAGGCTATCAAAATTATTTCCGTTTCATAATAGAGCGTTTATTAAAAAGCTAGGGCCCCGCTAACAGTAACCAAAGTTCCTACTTCCAACATTTTGAAAAAATTACCTGAACAATTGGGACATCAACGCCGAGATGTTCAGCGTGCGCAACGAGCGTTCGCTGCGCGCCTTCGCAACTAGCTTATCGACCTCGGTGCAGAAACGATCCGGGTCCTTGCAGTTTTGATACGGCGAATCCTCGAGCATCAACTCCCCGGCTTTATAGCCGCGCTTCTCGACGATACACCGGAAGATGCGTCGTAAATTCCGGAGATTCTTCGGCGTCTCCGAGATGGCGATACCCGTGTCGAGAAGGATGAGGGTTGGCTCGTCGTTGAGGTCGGGGGAATCGGAAAAGTTCAACCGGGGAGCCGCGCGGATTCTAGAAAAAGGGAAGAATTTTAAAAAATATGAAAATTACCTAAAAGTATCCCGCAAAAAGTCCTTGATCCTGGCCAAACGAGATGCAGAAGGTGGCGCAAAATGGACGCCGGATGCTTCCTTGTCGTTGAACCGGACGAGAATGTTGCCGGGATGAAGGTCTCCGTGAACAAAGTTGTCGACGAACACCATCTTGAGCAGCGCCCTCGCCCCCAACATCGCAATCTTGCGGCGTACTGCCGGCGCCTGCTTGGTTTTGAGCTCTGGGTCTTCTTCCTCGGCGACAAGCCGGTTGATGTACATCCCTTCTTCGAAAGTCTCCATGATGGCCTTCTTGTTGTAGGCGACGACAACAGGGAACCTAAGAATGGCTCTCAAGGCTAGAAAAAACAAACGCACCTAATCCCCGTTTTCACTGGGTCAAAATTTTCCGCAAATTTCTTCAGCGCTCTCGCCTCGCTCCGCAAGTCAACCTGCCGCCTCAGCACCATTTCGAACTGCTCGATGGCGCCGATCGGGTCGAGGTACTTGAGAGAGGGCATCAAGATCTGCGTCAGCTTAGCCAGCCTGTTGACGATCGACAGGTCCATTTCGATCATGTCTTCTACGCCTTTCTCGGACACTTTGACGGCCATCTCCACCTTGGTCATGCCCTCCAGCCCTGGGACCCGGACGCCGTAGATGCGCTCGTATTCTTCCAAGTCCATCGTCAGGCGGAAGACCTAAACACGATAATTGAATCTTAAAATCCAAGAAAAATCGTACCTGCGCAATGCAGCCAGAGCCGATCGAGTACGGCTCGATATTGGGGAAGATGCGCGCCTTATTCTTGAGAATCTGGGGCCCGAACAGCGAGACGAGCACCTTGTCACAGTCGCGGAACAACCGCTTCTTCTTGGTTTTGGTGTGGAGGATGGAGAGACGGTCGCAGAATTCCTTGCTGAATACGTCGCGTCGGGTTGATGCCCATTGGCCGAGCTTTATGAGGGTCGGTCCTAAAAGTCGAGTTTTTAACGCGCTTTCCTGTTACTTACCTGAAGCTTGCACATGCCAGAGCGCAAATCTCCACCACAGATCGTACGTCTTGTCCGTGCACGCCATTAGCGGATACGTCAAGATTAGCGGCACAAAGCGGAAGGAGAGCACGATGAAGCGCAGCGCCATTTGTAACGAGTTGTAGGTGACGATCAGAAGACTAAAAATAAGGTTTCCTTCGCCATTTGGAAAGCACCCACCTAATTGGTGAGGTCAAAAGGCGACGCCAAAACGAGTGGGAATCTCCAACCACTTTTGTCGGTATCTGTAGCAGCCATGGGTCATCAATGGGTTGTTCTTCCAGGTGGCACAACAGTTTTCGGCATTGTAGGAAGTGACCTGAATACAAAAAGTTATTGCTTTCACTGACAAAGAGACGTTAAAATGATAGTCGTGCTATCGCACGGCCCCAAGCCTGCCTTGTGAAGAATTTCGCGCTGACTCCGAACTTGGTTTCTGAACCCGCGAGATTATCAGACTAGACAAGTTTTGGAGCTTTTTTGTGCGGTAAATGCAAGAATTTCTGGAAATTCGTACATTTTGTCTTTTTCACGCTTCAAATATTCATAACCTTTTTAATCTGATGGTTTCGCAGATTCTGAAACCAGATTTAGAATAAAAGCAAAATGCTGCACAAGCTTGGCTTGGCCCCGTGTGAAAGCCCGATTGTTTCCTTGTGAGCTGTATACCTTATTCATTCTTTATCGAAAGATCCAACCTGTGGACCGGAGAAACAACGTCGAGCCGCCAGCAAAGGCGACGAGCCGCGGGACAGTGAGGAGTTGCTTGCTGGTGCTGGGCAGATTTGGTCGAATTGCCCGTGGTATGGCGGCGAGCCGCCATCGCGCACAGGCTTTTGTTAACAGCATCACCGACGCAGGCTTGAGCTCATAGGGGCAAATCGGCTGGAAAAAGGTAGATTAAATTCAGTCATGACGACTGGGAGAAGCAGAGGAGAAGGGACCCGGTACACAGAGGGAGACCCGGTATGAACATATCGATAATCGAAGCTACAATGGTGATGTCGCGCCGAATACATCAGCGAACTACGCTTGAAGTGAGTTTGGATTGTGAATTTGCGTAAGCGTTCTTAAAGGCATGAAACAGGTCGGTGAAACGGGCGGGTTTTTAGCCCTCAGGCAGGTTGATTCCCGGGGCGCGCAATAGCAGTGACAGCCGTTTAGGTCGCGTAATGCAACTGATTACTCGATGTTTTGTTGAAACAAAAACTATTATAAGTGTAAGAACCTATATTGCTTTGATCGCAAATTTATTTCAACGGCAAGAATAGTATAATAATGTGCACAACGACTCATTGTATATATGATCAGGGCAGCGCTTTACAAAGGGACGATAAAACCTTTGCTTGCTTGTGCGTATAAAACCAAATATCTTAGAAAAAGCAAGACGCATCCGCAGGGAGACATTATCAAATATATTTTGTCGCCTTCCAGCTTCTCGGCTCGACAGCACGGGTGCAATCAACGGAAAAAAAAATTTGGGCCAAAATCATGACTATGCATGCCTCGCGCAAAATTTTACCGATACCTTTCCGGACTCGACGATCACTCTGAATAAAGTATTTCATATTTGTAAAAGTATGCTCTGTTGTAACCGGAACCAAGACAGTCCTGTTCAGAATTGTCCTGTTGCCGGACAGCGTAAGATTAGCGCTAAAACTATGCTTACAGGAAGTTCGCCTTGGAAAGAAAGAAGCGGCTTAGTTTTGGATAGTTTTGGTCTATTTGTTGACAACCTCCTAGTTTCTCAGCACAACCTTGTTCGATTCATAATTGCGCTTCTTAAACCTATGTGAACTTAGGAAACCCTACTTTTCATCGTGTATCGCTCGGAAGTGTGGCCTGAAAGCTTCTTGAGCGGATACCCTAAAGTCATAAGTCAGAACTGATTTTAGAATTCCCCTGTTAATCCTGATGCATCCTTGTGTGATGCGTCTCGCTGTTTCCAAAATATTTGGTTTTATACGTACAAGCAAGCAAAGATTTAGCGCCCCGTTGTAAAGCGTCGACCTGAGCAATAAGCCGTTGTGCATGGGATTATACTATTCTTGTAGCCGTACCTGTAAAATAAAATAAACTTGCGATCAAAGCAATATAGTTTCTTACACTTATAATAGTTTTTGTTTCAACAAAACATCGTGTAATCAGTTGCATTACGCGACCTAAACGGCTGTCACTGCTATTGCGCGCCCCGGGAATCAACCTGCCTGAGGGCTAAAAACCCGCCCGTGTCGGTGAATCGTCTCAAGCGTGAAATTTACAACGTACAGCAGTTAGGCAAGCCATATTTAGCGCCCTTTAAAGCTCATCAAAAATAACGAGCATTTTTAAATAACTAAAAAAGTAAATCACACGTAGCAAAAATCTCTTTTCTCCTATAAATCTCAATTAGGTCACCTAGGCTAAATTACCCTAAATTACTTATACTACTTTGCCCGCTCAAACATTTCATTTGAAGAGCCTGGGAATTTCCTTCGTATCGATCAAACAGGAACGAGAAACGAATTTGACGCCAATTTACAAGCGTTTCGTGGAGGGGTGCAACATCACTAAAAACTAAACCTTCGTAAAACACATGTTGAGAAGCCTAAAGCTTTTCGCGCTCAAAAACAAGCCACGGCTCGCGTTGGCCCATAAATTGCGCTGGCCATACGGGGGCAAAGTGGCGTCACCTTGACCAGTGGGTGGGTGAGTCATTGAGCCGAGAAATCAAGGATCGCTTCACAGTTCCGGGGGGTGAGAAAAATAGGGGCCGGCGGGCAGGAACAGGGCTCCATCGCCATCCAATGGGCGGCTTCATCGCGCGCTCTTACAGGAAATTGATATCTGGAACGGCGGTGACCGGCCAGCAATGTGGCACACGACCCGGATGAACACATAGAACGTCTGCACGGCTTCTGAATGGCCGGAAGTCGATTGAAACTTTTGAAACGGTTTGCTACAAGCCAAATTTTCGAATAAGACACGCCCGGACGCTTCAATTCTACTTTACAGGGTTTTCACAAAAAATATTTCCGTAGTACGGTAGTGTAAATTACGGTAACGCAAAGCGTTCGCTATTTATGTTCGTCCCTTTTTTAATTTTCGAAAAAAGAAATTTCTTTTTCACCTTTTCACAAATCCATTTCTATGCTATACGTTCTCATTTTATGCGGTATATCACTATAGCTCGGTAGTGCCGTAGTGAAGGATTTTCAATTCTATAAGCCGTTGCTATTTGTTTTTGCAGACTTTTCACGAAAATTACAAATTAACGCATAAAACTATAGGCGCGTACTTTCCAGCCTCGCCAAAACCGTTCGCCAATCGAATTCTGCACCATAAGTTTCCTTTTTGTGGACAAACAGTATCGATAATCAACTGATTATCGGAATATCAACCCAATTTTGCCGAATTTCCGTGTTTTCCTTGCTTCCCTTGCTACGATTGCTTCCTTTTGCGGCATCTTCCTATTTTCCATCGAATCGCCATCAATTTATGGCCACCAATGCCTCTATCGTTCTTTTACAAGTTTGCTTTTTATTCGGAGCTTCAAAACAAGTGGTTCTTGGCTTTTGGCATCGTTCAGCGCATGATATATGGCGGTTATATTAGAAAGCATGAAATTTTTGAAACCAGCGCCTCGAAAATTTATTTTCATTTACTTTCCTCTCCATTACCCCCTGTCTCCCCAAACTTCTGCCCCACGGCGGCTTTGAACCCGTCCAAATGGGCGCAATTTGTCTCTCAACCCCGTCTTCTCGGGCAAAATGTCCAATCTGAACCCTCCGTAGGGGGCCCCTGCGAGGCCAACGTGGTGGGCCCCGAGCTCCCTTTGGGGCCATCGATCGCCCACCCGGCATCTTGTCTCTATATAGGCCTGCGGCTAGTGTTTCCGCACCGAATCACACTATGCGTGCCTAAACAATTGGTGAGCACGCGTGTCGACTTGCACGGTGGGAATTTGTTTACAACTAAATTTCGAGCTCCATTCTACGGCCTTTTTCGGTGTACCCTGCTTCTTGAGACCTTTCCCAAAAGCTTGGCAATGTCTTGTTTTCGCATCTGATCCCCTATACGACCTTATCAAATCGATTCGGGGTCCCTTTGCGCCCTTCTTTTGACAGTTCCAGGTCTTTCATAACCCCTCTCTCTGACTCAAACCTCGAGTATTTGCTCCCAGTGCCATTTCTGCTTTTTCGCTGCTCTCGCGCAGCTTCCTTTATGAATCTACCATTTTCAGAATGTTTTCGAACATGGGTGCAGCCGCATCGGGCGTGCAGACGCAGATGCAAGCCGAACATGACCCGAACGCCAATTACCCATGGTTCGTTTTTTTTTTTTAAATATTATCATTTTAGCATCGATGTTATTTATGATACCCTGAAAAATTGTGTTTTTAGGTGGATTCGCTATCTCGCAAAGGCCGTCGGCATCGTTGGAGGCTTCATCGCCATTTTCTTCGGTGTCGTCGGGCTGATCTCCTTTACGCCGAAGTGCATCATTGCCGTGTTACTTCAGATGTAAGTCATTTTTGGGTTTGAAATTATGCGTAGCCGAAAAATTATGCCTTTTTATCGAAGCTCTGGCAATTTCTTTTTCGTTATTGATTTTTATTCACCTGATAAAATTACATTTTAGGGTCTCCGGCTTCTTGACAGTGGCTCTCGAGGCGCCCTTCTGCTGCCAGTTCGTCGACTTCATCGAGAAGCTGGCAGCGTTCAGCGAATCGCGGTCACACTTCCACAAGGCCATCCTCTACGGAGTGTACGTTTGTTTTCTAGCGAGGCGATTATTACTGTTTTTTTACCTTCTGGAACGTTGGATTTTAGGATGGGCCTGATCCCGATCTTCATCTGCATCGAGTTGGAGACGTTCCTCGGCTCGGGCATGATCTTCGCCTGCGGTTGCTGCTATGGATTTATGGCGTTAGGTGCGGTTTTATAAGCGGCTTTTGTCAAACCCACGGTTGCTTTCTTAAAATCGTAGGGACAAAATTTTTCCTTAGCGCCCAATTTTTCTGATAAACCAGGGTTGAAAAGCCGCTTCGCGACTTTTCAACCCTGGTTCCGTCTGACCCTACAATCTTCTTCGCCTTACATAATTTTCCTGAATCCCGATAACGAAAAAACGAAAAGACGCTCCCTCTTTCCGATTATATAGGCTATCGCCATTTCCGGCGTATGCTAACTATTTCCTAACAAAGAGGGGTGTCCTATTTTTCAACAAAAACTTTATTTTAATGTAAAAAATCGAACAATTTGCACAATCTGATAAGCGTGCAGTCATCTTGGAGCCATTACGCACCTAATGGTGTATCAAATATAGCTTAAGGGCCTTCCCCTCTCGAGATATCCTCCGGACAACCTGACGGAAGTTGCATGCAAGTGCACACACACAGACACTATTTTTTTATATATAGTAAGATAACAGAGCTGTTCTACAGTATTTTTGTATTCTTGTACGTTAAAACCCCAAACAAATTTTGATAACAAAAAATCGAGTGTCCAACCAATTTTTGAAATTTCTGAATAGTTGCGCCGCCTGGAATATAGCGAATGTTCTCAAAAAACTATAAAACTAGGAAACAAAGGAATTTGTTCCCAATGCCGATTTTGCGCCAGTACCAACCACTTTTCCCATTTTTTTATAAATTCTTCTTCAAACTTAAATTTCAGGAAAGAAGGCCGACCGAAACACGATGATGGCTGCCAGCGACCCGGCGTGGAGCCCGCAAGTCAACGCCCCATCGGTCTCCTAGATTTCTATGCCTCACTTCTTTGTGCCAGCCACAAAAATTGTCGCCAGTTCCTCCTCCTCATTCCCCCTCAAAACAATTCACACTGTGATTTCGAATTTTCACCCCTTCCCACCCTTTTTTTCGCTGACAATTTCCCCCTATCCACGGTACCGGTAGTGTCTAATCATATGGAACAATTCCCTATCCCCCGGACTTGGCTGTGCAATTTCTAGGCTTTACAAATGTTCAGTTTTAACGAAATCTCTGTGTATCGGTGGCATTTTTCAACCCCCAATTTGCCATATTATGCCCAACATGTGTTTGTGAATTCCCACTTTTTCATTGGTCACTTTCCCGTGTGCAGTAAGGAGTTTTGTTCTAGTGTTTGGTGTTTTTGGGCTGTTTTCTGTGTGTGCTGATAATAAATTATTGCGATCCGGGTTTTGCCGGTTGACGACCGAACCTCAGAAACGTCTCCAAATGGTTGCTTGTGGCGGGTTGGAAGGTTGAAGTCCGGCCATCGGTTTCCTCGGCCATTTGCTTTCCGATTTCAAACGATAGCTTTTCACATTTACAGAAATTCCGAGTTTCTTTTATCTCAGGAAAACTAGTTGCCATGCGAACACTTTTCAACGCGACTTTGAAAGTTTTTGCGCAGAGCATTTTCAGGTGTATCCGTGTTTTGTTCCGCCAATCTCACTGAATCACGTTTATTCAAAGAAATCAAGTACGATGCGGCGAGTATTCGAGTTTTTTCTTGGGGGCGGATGGGAGGCGGAGGGTCTCATCAGTAGATGGCGAAGGAGACTTGGAGCTGTTGGATGACGAGCACGCGGCAGAAGCCACACCCGGTCGCAGCGCTCTCTCCTGCAATAAGATATTTAATTGAGACGCCCTTTAGTAGCCTACTCAAGGTGGTGCGTCGCAGCTCCGGGTCCGTTGGCAGCTGGGAGCTGCTGAAACAAACATGTTTCATTGTAATTTATGCTGATCTAGCTGTTTATTTTGTATTTACTCACTCAAAGTCCTTGTGTGGGCACTTCTTCTTGTGGGCCCGCTTCTCGAGCGGCTTCTGGAGGTAGTAGCTAAAACACAAATATTCGGGAGCCTGTTAAAATTCCTACTTTCGCGCGTTGAGACACTTCACTCCGATCCGCTGCTGTAGCAGTACGAGGGTGCCCGGTTCCGAGTCGCAGACGTAGCATTCGGGCACTTCAGCTGGGAGCCCCAGATCCTAAAACCATAAGTTTTAAATTGGACAACATTTGAATGACTACGTTATGACTGCATCTGGATTATGTCTACCGGCTAAGCTTAACCCAAGCCTAAGCCGAAGCATAGGCACAATCGAAGACCTGACTTACGGAGTATGACGGAGCCACCGGCTCCGCGCGATGCCGTCCCTGTGGCTGGCGTCCTGTTGGTGGCAGGAGAACTGGCTGCAAAATTCAAAATAGTGAAAATCGCGACTTTACGGGTTATCCAAAATATAGTTAAATTTTAAGCCAATGATATGGCGAACTTTCCCAAGACCATATTCAGAAACTCATTATTAATCAGAACTCGCAGACACAATACGGTAGTTATAGCGTAGCGGGGAAGGGGTGATAGAATCACAGTGGGGTTATATTTCGCTGCAGTAAAAACAGAATCTAGGTGTTTCCGAGCATTGGCTAGAGAACAACTAACCACAACAACCCAATCGAGAGAAAGAAGCGCTATTGAGCAAGCCATTTGGTACAATTATCCGGTTTTTCGGGGTAACATAAGAGCAATTTGACTAATAAAACCAAACGTTTTTGCCATGAAAAGAACGAAAGGAAGAAAAGTTGCTCCCCCCATTTCATGCCTATATCTAGGTCCAACAATCAACCTAACGAGTCCAAGTTCGACATAAAGCTAAACCGGCTAAGCTAATTCGAAGTCTAGTGAATCGGCATAAGTTAAGCCGAAGCCTAAGCATAGGCCCAATCCAAGACCTGGCTTACAGTGTATGACGTGCCGCCCGATTCATCGTTGCCATCTCGAGGCGGGGTCTCTTCACCGAGTTCTTGTGGCGGCATGCTGGTGTAGACGAAGTGGGGCAGTTCCTGGAAATGATTGTGTAAATGGGGCAAAAAGAATGGCAACCGGGATTGTGAACGGGAGGAGCACCATGGCGGCGCGGTGCATCGTCAGCGAGCAGTTCTAAAAATAAAAGAAAGACTGTAAAGCTTGCAAAACTCTTACCTGGATCGGAAGAAAGGTGAGCGTGTACGGCCTGCTCACGAAACCGAATGCCCAGGGCCTGACGAGGAGCAGATGATGAATTGTCTCCAGCGTCTATAATTTCTACGTAAAGCAGCAATTGGGTAAAAGCCTTGTTCTCGCTGATTTCCAGTTTGTCCCCTCCACTCGCCTCCCCCCAGCCTGGATCTCCCAGTCATCCAATTAAAATGACAAAAATCTCAAAATATTCGCCTCGTCAAATACTAGCGTTCCAAATACTTTTTAAAAAGGTCAGAAAGAAAAAAATTGTTAAAGCTTAAATAACAATTAGTTATATGGGGCTAACATCCAGGCCTTTCCCAGTCGTAAGCGTCTAGAGGGGTGTGGCGTCGCTCTTTCCCCCGCCAGACTATAGTTGCTCCGCGACAATAATTGCTTCCGAAATTGTCGTTTGCTATTTTTTTTTGTCAAAAAAGGTGAATAGTAATCAAGTATTTGGCGAGGAGAACATTTTGAGCGGCTTGGCGCATGAATTGGACGCTGAGGGGTGGGAGGGGGGTAAACGAGGATTTAGCCTGAACCAGAATAAAAAACTCACGACAGCGTATTGCTTCAGCGTTCGATGGAACATGATCAGCATACGCGGGCGTGGCAAAGGGTGGGCGGTCTTCTGAGTGGAGACGCTCGGCTGATGATGTGTTTTGTTGTACTTGCTCATCATGTCCTGCTTGATCTCGACTAAAAAACAAATTTAATTGACGTTTTATTACTACTTTCAGCGTAAATTTTGGGCTTCGTACTGTCGCGCTTCCTTTAAAATACAATTTTTGCTGCTCAATTGCGCCTTAAAGGGCTAGTTCAACCTTTGGAGCTTGGGCTGGTACCTTGGGAAACTATGGACGTAGGTACAGTGCGCCCGAACAGTCCCCATTACGGCAGCTATTAGAGATCGGAGAAATGAGAGAGGCGCAGACACAAAAACGCAGAGAGGGTTCGACTCCTGGCCACGGAAATTCTTTTGTTTTATTGGCTGAACTAGCCCTTTAAAAACGCAATTTTGCCGCAAATTCTAGTGTCCCATTCTCTTTAAAAACCGTTTCCTCGTCAAAAATTGTATTTTGAGCTACGGAATTCCAACTGAGAATCTGCAGCTTGTACATGCAGCTATGTCTAGCGCTGCTGAATCCGCTATTTACGCATCCAAATCCGAAAAAGGCTGAATTTCGAGATGGGATAGCTCTAATCTCAATGATACGATCTTTCTCAATGATACCTTTGGGCTTTCCCTCCTTTTTCTCTTTTGAGCAGCCGGCCTTCTTCTCCTTCTTCTTGGCGTCCGACTCCTGCATCTCGCTTTCGCTCGAGCCCTCCCGTTCGTCATCGCCGGTCACCTAGAAAATTTGAATATTTAGCTAATTTGAATATCAACATACCTGCATCAAGACAAGCGCCAGGATGGGGGCCCAGCCGATTGTCATTTTGTCGAGGGTGCGGAATGATTTACTGTTGTACTTGAATGGCACCGGGGCGAGACATTTAATTTTTGCGTCAATAATTTATCCAAATCAGCTCCGGTCCTGGGACTCCGAATCTATCTAAAATTTTTGTTACTTTTCGTTGGCTTCTAAATCCTTTTCGGGTTTATTTTTGTTGAGTGTTTACGAAATTCCCCAAAATCCTTTGCTCGTCTGCACGGTTTTGGCCAATTTTTAGGACTGAATTTTCACCTATTTTGGAGCTGCTCTTGCGGTTATATTTACTGTTGCTGTTCTGGCATTCGCTAAATATATATTTCTAGCGCTTTTTAAAAGGGCTCGGAAGTCAAAATTCGCGTGTTCGGGGATTGAACCTACTGCTGAAAAAAACGAATGGATTCCCGCCGAAAAGTGCCAGAAAATTGATTTCGTTTCGAAAAAGCGCAAAATATCGGAGAAAAACCGAAATGTTTTCGGGGCGAAAACGTCTTTTGGGCGCGCGGCGATTACATGTCGTAATTCCCTGTGTCATACTCAAATCCGACGATCTCGGTGATTCCCAGGTCAATTTTGATAATTAAAAAGTCTAAAATGAACAAAATTCGATGAGGATTACAGAAATATCGTCAGAATTTTCAAATTCACGCGATTTCCCTTCCAAGAGAACATGCGTCGCGGTCGGCTTGCGGCCGCATCTGGCTATTTGCCAGGAATCAAGGCGGGGGCCGTGGACCAGATTTCGGAGCCCCTTTAAAGAACAATTTCGTGGTAGAACTTTTGGAAAAGAGCTAGAACCGAACCCCGCTCAGTTCGGCTCCCCGACCATTTGCGGCCCGACACTTGCGGCCCGACAGATGCGGCCCGACATTTGCGACCCGACACTTGCGCCCGACATTTGCGGCCCGTCCTATTCAGCCCATTTTTCTCAATATAAAATTAAAAAGAGGGTTAGTAAGGGTCTAAAGCATTTTCAGGCAAGGCGGGCCGTCGCTTCGGATGGGCTGCCCCTCCACTCTTTCGAAATCGGGGCGCCTGGCCGCTACGCGCGCCTCAGACGCACCGATTTCGAAACCCTGTACGAGGTCGCACCCATCCGAAGCGACTAGGCCCCAGGTGGCACGAAGCCTTATTTTTAGGTCAATACCAGGGGGCAAGCTATCAAAACCATTCCGAAAACTAGCCTTCGGGACGGTTAAAAGCTTCAGTTTTTGGTAATTAACTACAGCTTCGGGCCGCAATTGTCGGGGCCGCAAATGTCGGGCGCAAGGGTCGGGCCGCAAGTGTCGGGCCGCAACTGTCGGGCGCAAGTGACGGGCCGCAAGTGTCGGGCCGCAAGTGTCGCGTCCGCAAATGTCGGGCCGCAAATGGTCGGGCCGCAAATGTCGTGGCACCCTCAATTCAAACCGGATCCTGCAAATCAGATATCTAGGCAAATAAGGCAATGCAAGGCCAAAAATACTCCATTTTTTTGGAATTTTGGGAGAGTTGCATAAATAACTAATTTTCAACATCCGGTGGAGTAGAAGGGTTCGGCTCCCGCTCTTTTCCAAAAGAGCCGGGTCAAGAGCTGGAGCTGAGCGGGAGCTGAAAATTTTCAGCTTCCGCTCGGCTCCTGCTCCCGCTCAGCTCCGCTCAGAACCGGCTCGCAGAATGACCAACCCTGCTTCTGAGGCATTATACTAGAATTTGAGCACGCTAACTATGCGTTTGCTGCTCAAACCACATCCGATTTCGCATTTTGTCCTGTAAAAAAGATCTTCTTCTTCTTTTATTTAATCTTCTTCTTCCGTATATAGGCTGAAATATACAAATTGTTTTACGATGTTTATTCTTCGATTAACATTGGTTTCCGAGTCTGCCTTATAGCCATTTAATGGACTGAGTATAAAATCGAATTTTCCCCTTGTCCCCAAAAAAAGCTACCGAGACTGTTCAGCCGATTTTACCAAATTAAGCGGACGTGAACGCGGTGCCCCAGTGCTGGAGATGAGGACTTGTGAGCGAGCAGTGGATGAAGTCGAGCATTTACCGGCTCTTGACCTCAAAAACAAACTTTTTTTGAAAATTTCTAAATCGGCGTAAAGGCCATATTTTCAATGTTTACCGTTTCAGTTCATTTCTGTGCCTCAATTCTTGGTGCCAGCCACAAAAATTGTCGCCAGTTCTCCTCCTCATTCCCCCTCAAAACAATTCACACTGTGATTTCGAATTTTCACCCCTTCCCACCCTTTTTTCGCTGACAATTTCCCTCTATCCATGGTACCGGTAGTGTCTAATCATATGGAACAATTCCCTCTCCCCCGGGCATGGCTGTGCAATTTCTAGGCTTTACAAATGTTCAGTTTTAACGAAATCTCTGTGTATCGGTGGCATTTTTCAACCCCTAATTTGCCATATTATGCCCCAACAACATGTGTTTGTGAATTCCCACTTTTTCATTTGTCACTTTCCCGTGTGCAGTAAGGAGTTTCTCGTTTTTGCCCAAATCCTTACGAGGGTGCTTGTCGAAATGGAAGGATTTAATTCTCGGCCACGTGGCATTTATCGGTATCGGTGAGTCAATGAAATTGCGAGTAGGTGGATGCTGGCTTCCTTCTTTCGCCCTTCGCTCCTGTTCCTTCATTCCTCCGAGCGGATCTGGAGGGCTTGCACGACGCGGAACACACAGTATCCACAGCCGGTCGCCGCCATCTCCCCTGAAAAATTGCATGATTTGGTAAGCATTCTGGGACCTACTCAAGCACGCACGGCGCCTGATCGGGTCCGTAGGCATGCTGATGAACCTAAAATTGGTGGGGTGCAAAGCAGCTGTTGTTCGTACCGAATTGTTAGGGGGTTGGGTTTCCACGTTTTTAGTGGGAAGAAAAGTTATCTCACCTATCTGGCTACGAACCCAATTTTTTAATCTTTTATAATGTATTAATAACTGAACTGAAAATGAAGAACAACAATTGGAAATTTTGTGAATTGGTAACAAATTTGGTACTTGTGTATTCCCGGGGGGGAAAGAATTCGGGGGGGGAAACTGAACTTTTTTTTGTCGGGCCTGGTGGGGATAGTAATCAAATATAAAGTGTTTTTACGTTGTTTTTAGCAAAATTTAAGCCTATTTGAATCGGAAAAACTTTTTAAAAAGTTAGAAAAACGCTTGAAAAAGTCGAAAATTTGGTCATTTTTGGACCGAAAAAAATCGATTTTTCGACCTAAAAAATTTTTTAATTAAATTTTGTAAAGTTTTTATGTTTAGGAATAGCTATAAACAATTTAGAAACACTTCCACTATTTATATAAAAAATCTAGGCTTGGGCCAAAAAAAGTTCAGTTCCCCCCCCGCGAATTCTTCCCCCCCCCGAGAATACACAAGAACCACAAATTTTTATGAATTCCGGGTTGCAGCTCAAGTTATAGTCTACAGCCCCAGTTCCATTTTGTTGAAGCCCGGCCATTTTAGCCATTTTGCCGGGAGTTCTACCAGCCACTTTAGCTACCCACCCAAAGTCGGCAAACGGGCATCCCGGGGCGTGGCAGCGCTCTTCGCTCGGCTTTCTGGCCTGATAGCTAAAAAAATACTGGCTTTCGGCACATAGCAAATCCTACTAGAAGCGATTCCGGCAGGAGCTTCCCAGCCCGAGCCCTTGGCGCAGCGTCTCGTAGGGCTCCGCCTGGCAGGCATGGCACACCGTCGGATCGTCGTCGGGCACTAGCAGCTGCTCGAAGTCCTGGACGAAATCATTATAAGGCCATATTCACAAACTGATTTCTGATCAATCTCAACAGTCCCGATCAACACTATACGTATTGGGTAGCGGGTTGTTTCCTCTAATACTTTAATTATGGGGTTTTCGGGTTATCAAAACGCATCCGATGAATTTTGAATATTAACAAAATATCGTAAAAATCATGAACGGAAGGGAATTATTGAACCCCGGTTGCTACCCCCTTCCATGTCCAAACCTAACGATCTCAAGTATGCATAAACCTGCGAGCCGGCTAAGCTAACCCAAGCCTAAGAGCTAAGCTCAAGCCAATCCTACTCCTAGTCTGGCTTACTTTGCTGGGCTCATCGGCCTCCTTGAAGTGGCCGATGGGCTTGACGACCCGGTGGATGATCTAAAATTTATCAATTTAATCTAGATGACACTCTCGGGACCTCGGGACCGGGTGATCCCTCGGGGACTGTTGTCGCGTTTCGGGGCGGGCGCGGAGTCGCACGGGCGGGGATGAGATTTTCCGCAATTGGCTTGATCTTCCGCGGCTAAAATTCCGTTTTAAAAAGCTTAGTTCCTATCCACGGTGTGTCCTAATCTAAAAAAAGAAGCGCTATTGAGCAAGCCATTTGGTACAATTATCCGGTTTTTTCGGGGTAACATACGAGCTAATAAAATAATAAAACCAAACGTTTTGCGATGAAAAGAACGAAAAGAAGAAAAGTTGCTCCCCCCCATTTCATGCCTATGCTTAGGCTCAATCATCGAACTAACGAGGCCAAGCATACAAGGACCTAATCCAGCAAAGCTAACTTAAGTCTAATGTCCAATAGGCTCAATCCGACCTGACTTACCGAGTATGACCGAGCCACCGGCGGTGTGGTCTCCGGGCGATGATGTCCCCTTGGCCCGCATCGTGTAGGTGGCGCAAATTCTAATTTTCGAGTCGATAATTTATGCAAATCGCCTCCGGTTCTGGAGCTTCGAATCTATGTAGCCTTTTTGTTGATTGCCCCCATTAGTCATAAAACCATTAGTCATAACCTCATTAGTCATAAAACCATTACTCATAACCTCAGTAGTCATAAACTCATTAGTCATAAACCCACTAGTCATAAATTTCAATAGTCATAAAACCGTTAGTCATAAATTGTTAGGAGGGTCACGGGCACAAATTTTTTCCCAACTGACTATTTTACCGAGTATCCATATACTAAAAACTATGAGTATTGAAATTTATGACTTTTGAAATTTAAGACTAACCAGGGTTGAAAAGCCGCTTCGCGACTTTTCAAC